GCAGCGACCTAGAAGACCGTCAGATCACTTTGAGTGGATTTCCCACGTCTCATTACTCTGCAGTGATTCTGTCTTTTCAGGTTTACTGCTCCATTTCCCTCGACAACAATCCCTGTGATCAACACAGTACTTTTACAAAATCTCTCAGTCATTCCAGCCATAGTGTGTTTGCAGGCTGTGGACAAATGTACGTGAAGATTTTTTTTCTCCTTCTCTCAACATTCCTCTCGTCCTATTCAGTGGTCACCAACATTCAAATTCCTTCACATGGAATGTGACGAACTGCGTCACGGCGGCGGTGGTGCTACGGCACCACCACACACACTCTACTTCCGCTGTTCCTGTCTTTGTTTTTGACACCGTGTGCAAGTGTGACAGCACCAAAAATAGTCGTGCAGCAGCTCATGTGTCTGAAGGTCAGACCACCGTCCACTGTGGGGCATACTTCAGGAGGAGAGGAGAATACTTTAGATTGTGGTAACAGATGTTTGGGATCATGAAAATAATCACATGTCACTGCTTGGATTTTGTAGGGATCTGTTAAAGGTAAAAATATAAAAACATCCCACTCACACTCCGGCCTCTGGAAATTGTATATGGGCTGCACTGAGTACAAACCCAGAACTCTGTTCTGTTTTGGTCGCAGAAGGATTTCAGCTGAACAAAATTGTTGCTGTGCGCCTGCTGAAAAAACAAACTGTGATTAATAATGTGTTGTTTTTTTTTTGCTTTGGTCTCTGCAGGTGTGAAAACCCTCGTGTGTTCAAGCTGGGCTTGATCTCAGGGATCTGGTGGGCGCTGGCTCTGCTCTGCTGGATCAGTGACAGGATATTCTGTGAAATGTGGTCGTCTGTCAACTTTCCATATTTACACTGTGCTTGGTAAGAGCCGTCCCCTGTAATAATTTACTGACCACATGCTCTCTCTCTCTCTCTCTCTGTCTCTCTGTCTCTCTCTCTCAAGATCAAGGTTGAATACAACTGAATGGATTTGCCACTTGTAGTTCAAACCTTGAATCAAAGGTTAACGTTGGAACAAACCATTATGAATTAATGTCGTTTTTGAAAAAAAAAAACTCAAATTATCTAAAGAGACTTAATACAGTGGTTCCCAAACTTTAGTTCTTGATCTCATTTTTGACATTACAAATTTCTGATGAACTCAGAGATTTCATGAATTGCTAGACATTTTCAGGTGTCCCCCATTTGAATTCCATCTGATCTCATGTGGGGTCGTGACCCCAATGTTGAAAAACCCTGGCCCAATATGTTTGTATGATTACGTACTGTGACTGTGTGAGCAGTACGATGTCATGACGGCTCGCTTCTCTTCGCTCCAACAGGCACATCCTCATATGTCTGGCCTCGTACCTGGGCTGCGTTTGCTTCGCCTACTTCGACGTCGCCACCGAGGCTCCGGAGCGAGGCCCGGTCATCATGTTCTGGCCCAACGAAAAGTGGGCCTTCATCGGTGTGCCCTACGTCTCCCTGCTCTGTGTCCACAAGAAATCTACCATTAAGGTGACTTAGGGTGACCTGGATCGGCAGCTCAGACACACATCTGTCACCTGAATGCTTGGAAACACAACACACACACACACACACACACAACTGTGGAAAAGCTGGCTGACTTTCCCTGGTGCTGCAGTGACTGGATGATTGACAGGGTCCTGCCTCAGAGGGCGATTCTCTGTGTAGAAAATCAGTCACTAACACGACGACACGACATCAAGGCTCCGAAACCTTCCCGGTGTTTCCTAAGGCGTTCTCAGGCTTTTGCGTGAGTGATTTTGTACATTTGATATTGACACTTAAACCTAAACTAAAACCACTTTATAAAGCATTGTTGTTACCTTTATACACAGACGTGCAGCGCCTCATCAGTGTTTACAAGAACAGAAAAACACTGGAAACATTTAATGTGATAAAAACAAAACAGAACAAACCACAGGTCACAAAGACTTATGTATTTTAAATACATAATGGATACATGCTGTTACTCCTGCCTTTTGTATTAACTGGAATTGAAATGGCACATCTCCAGCAACTTTTTTTTTTTTAAACCTGCATGATTGTAGAAAATTTAATATATTATAGAAAGAATATGAAGTATGCTATTCTTGGGAAATCTTTTATTATAACAGAATATACTGTAGGTACCCAATGGTTTTGGCCAACAACTAAAGATAAAAAAAAGAAAAAAGAATGTGGAATAGGAATGTATTAAAACAAAACAATTGACAAATCAAGTAAAATCACTTCTTATTTTGCACCAAATATCAAATGTTTTTTTTTTATAAAAATCTCTATTTTTCTGCACAGTGCGTAGCATTTCAAGACACAATTTGTGCAATTCATTGTTTCATAGTTAATGATTCATTGTACTGATCTAATGATGAAGGTTCTCAACTCCTGACCTGCTTTTTGTGGGTTGTTTATTCCAATCCCAGCATTTTAAACGGTGCATTAAACATGACTGAAGTGATGTGAGACAGAAGCCTTAACTGAATCACTTTGTACCAGTGTCATCACAGCAGCAGTCACTGGATTTACAGCACATTACTGCGTGCTCTACAGCCGGCCAATCAGTGGGAAGAGGAGAAATGTTTTTTTTTATTACCTCATACATGAAAGTAAATCTCAACGTTGAGTTAAAAGTGTATTACTTTGGTGGATACATGTCACCAGAGATATTTCACCTCAGATCTTTGTACGTGTTGTCACAAACTGCCTCAAGCTGCTCTTTTACTCTTCTGCCGAGGCTTCTGGCAACAAAACAAACTGCAAACATAATGAAGAATCACAGACTTTTTCCTACAACTAAGAAGTGATGCTTTTCTTTTTGAACCAACATGAAGTATTTTGTTAAGTCCAAAGCCATATATATTTTTCTAAGTGAAGTGCAGCCAAATTAAAATAAAACTTTTTTTTTGATAGTGTGGCATTATAACCTTAGCTTATGTTGTTAGAACCAGTTCATTTTGCTATGTTTATCTTTAAGAAAAACACACATTTGAAGCCATTGTGTTTATACATGTTTGTACAAAAAAAATGAAGTCAGTTAATCATTAGATGAAGGACTTGGCTGGAACTGTGCAGCGTCTTTAAAGCTACAACATAGCATGAGACGTGATAAATGTCACGTGACAAGGAATTGTCGTGTTTTGCAAATGTGTTTGTTCATACGAGCCCTTGTTTTCTGCTTGGATTGACGACATGACGACCTGCATACATATATTTATTTTCATAATTTATCCTGTTTTGTAAAGTAATATTTGTAACAGATTGAAGCTATTGTACTTTATTTTCTGCAATAAACCAAACCAGTACTCAAGATGACCAGTGGTGCTTATTTTATAAATTAAAGGACAAAAGGTTTCCAGTAAAATGTCTTCACTATGATTGTTGTCTGCTAGTGAGTAACTCTCTTCTCTTCTCTTTTTGTTAAAGTAAATATTTTTTGATGGGCTTGCACAACATCCTCAGTTTGATCCCAGAGCAATCCTTGTGGAATAAACAGTTGACCATCGTGCAGATTTGTAAATCATGTTATTTTTATTGCTGTTGCTGTAAAACACCAGATGACGTGTGGAATTGCTAAAAAAGAAAAAGAAAAACAACAAAAACCTACATTACCGTGGCTGTGGCTATTGTCACCCAAAGGATTTATTCTTCTTTTCACCTCGAGATACATTGTGCTGAACATGTGTAGTGTGCACTGTATGTGCAGAACAGTGCATGCATGTCAACTCAACAGCAGTCATATACATATATGTTCTATTTTGAGCACATTTAATTGCGCTGTCACTAAGATGCAGGAGACAGTTTTGGCCACTAGGGTGCACTTTCCTTTCACCCAGTGTGTCTCAGCACTAACGATCCTGTTGCCACTATTCACGACTGAAATGAATGGTTCTTCCACCACGTTCTACTGCAGTCTGTAAATAATATCTCATGTACACAGTTCCTCCATCTTGGCTCCTTTAACAGACTGCACACTTGATAAATGAGACACTCCCTCCCTCCCGACCCCCTCTCTACCCCGCCATGAAATGTCATGCAATGTATGACTGGTTCGTACAGATATTATCCTTGATAGAGTGTGTTATTTAAGAAAATTAATGTATACATGATTTTATATTACTTTCATTTTTACTTGATTTCTAGTGAAAGATATTTGTTTATTTGTATTTATATAAAATTTGTATATATATAAAAATAACTACTTAGCAACAGCGTAGAGCAGGTTTGTTTTCTACAAATAAAATAAGCAATAGAAGAAAACAAAATGTAAAAAAAAGTTTAAAAAGACAGAATCTCATTAAAAGAATAGATATTAGTAATCTTTCTTTTGGCATTTTAATTTTTTTATAAATGTTTTATAAACGTAAAATACATACAATAAAAAACAATTATTATATTATATTATATTATATTATATTATATTATATTATATTATATTATATTATATTAAAGATTGAAATTAGCATTTTAGGACAGATGACGTTACAAAACCTTTGTTTTATCGTCACATTCAGTCAGAAGTTAAGTTCCATTAATGCTAAGTTTCATGCAGAAGGAAATCCCGCCCTTTCTGACCATAGCAACATTCCATTGGCTGTTTTACATGCTGGTCAAATGACGTCCACGTCTCGCTGAAACATTCAGATAGAAAAGCGTCGACCAGAATCCGTCAGACCTTGGGGAACCTGACTGAGGGAGGAGGGGGTCTGAGCTGAAACTAACAGAGCGATTTAAAGAGAAAGGAGGAACGGAGACCGGAGACAGACACGGACACGGAGACCGGAGCTTCTGTTTTACTTCAACTGAGCCTTTCGTCATTGGACAAACGCTGTAATGTTTATAATTAGACGGTGAAACGAGCAATGGCGCAGCGTGGGCTTCCGTGGCTGAGGGAATAATTCCGGTGTTTGTTGTCAAACACTCACAGAGAGCAACGTAGACATAACACGTTTCAACCGTGTGAGGACAAGATGATGTCAGGGAAACATTTCAAGGCTCACGAGGTGAGCTGCTGCATCAAGTACTTCATCTTCGGATTCAACATCATCTTCTGGGTGAGTCGTCAGTCTGGGCCTGTGGTGGGTTATTATACGACATGTTCCACTGTCCACCAGCAGCACCATGATGGCAATGATTTTATTTTCTGTGGCTGAATTAGATTTTTATGAATGCGTGACGTCTCATCATCATCATCATCATCATCATCATCATCATCATCTGCAGTGAGGTGGACTGCTGCTCCCGTGCACTTGCTCCTCATGCTCAGCTGCTTTTGTTTTTGCTCCTCCTCCTCCTCCTGCTGCTGTTGTTGATGATGGTGGTGATGTCAAGCGCCAGATCTTGATAAATACATTTTCTTTCTGTACATACTGTATGTAATGGGACATTTCCTAATCTCTCAGTCTGTCAGTGGTCTTGGCTCATATTGAGCCTCGGTCATAATGTTCTCAGACAAAGTGAAAAGGAAAACAAACATTCTTTGTTGTCTCGACTCATCGTTTTCTGTTCCTCTACAGTAGGCCCACTGGTTGTATTTCATCAGACATACAATTAACACAGGTGTTTCTTAGTGTCACTCATTAGAATGTTTGATGCCTTGAGCCAGCAGTGATTGGGCGTTGACAATTCTGTAGAACTTAGAAATTAATGAAACGTACTGTAGGCTGCAACGGAATAGAAAGGGTTCCACTAGTTAGTGGATATCTCTGCACTGAATGGTGCCCTGTGCTCTGAATACCTATTATATTGTATTGTACCCGTATAAGGGCATTTTTATGTGTTTTATGTTCTTTGAATTGAGCCAGGAGTAATTGTAATGTACAAGGATGGCCAGACTGCGATGAGATGTGCAGTCCGAGTAACAGATGGGTTCACAGTAGCCACATATGAGGCACAGTTAGAGGTAGTGAAGGTCAATTATTTTAAATGGACCAACCGTCACCTGACATAAAAAGCAGGAAGGGTGGAAAGGTTAGAGACAAGGGTGGCAGAGGGGTAGTAGAAGCAGCAGGTTTGTAAAACAGTGCTTTAGAACCAGGAAGTGAGATCTGGTTTTAATGTACAGTATGGTGATAAGGCAGAGGCTAAGAGACGGGAAGCTCAGCTGAAGGGGCGTTTAGGGGGGGTGGGCGAAGGCGGGTTAAGATAACAAGCTTTTCTTTAGGAATGACCAACTGCCAAGATTGAACGGGTCGATGATAGAAAATTGAAAAACAACCATGTTCATAAATGTGCTGTGAATTTAGCAAAAAAGAAATCCCTGCAGATGGTTAATGTAGCCGTAGAGGATTGGGTGAGATGGAACCTTATGACCTGTAGAAAAGAACAGCCAGAGGAAGAGCAGAGACAGGATGAGGAAAAGGAGGAGAGGAGTAAGAAGAGGAAAAAACAGGTTTTCTGGCCAAGTTTTCATGCACAGGGCAGTAGAGTTGGTAGTTTCCCCTTTGACATTATTCAGTCAAAAGAGAAAAATGATTTTATGACAACACCGCCTGAAGGTTCATGATCAGTGATGTCATTACAATGTCTAAACTACAGAGAATCCTAACCCTGAAATTTGATTTCATGACCAGTCTGTGGTGGATACTCAAACAGTCGGTCAGATTACACTCAGTTTGAAGATGATTCCTAATGTGGGAGTCACTTACTGGCTGCTGACTGTGATATTTAGTGATGGAGCTGGGCCAGGAAAGTCTTTATGTGGCTCTCTTGTCTGTCAGTGTGGTGACTACGTGCTCCAGTCACAGAGAACTCATCCCTTTCTCTTTTCTTTTCCTTCCTTGCCAGTTCCTTGGAGTGACCTTCCTCGGCATAGGGCTGTGGGCGTGGAGCGAGAAGGTGAGTTTTTAGCTAAGATCGTTTATAGCTAAAACACGTCTCTTAATGACGACTGCTAATAAATGGAAAAACAAATGGATGTTTGTGTTTCACAAATGTCATTTCTCTATTATGTGTCCACACAAGATGAAATCATTAGGTTTACTGAATCAGAATGGAATGTCTTGATTTCCGGTGGGACACTCTTCAGAACAATGGGCTCTGATGTGTTTCACAGAGTCATTCATTGTGTTCTTTCAGCAGTGGGAGTACAAAGAGGAGAACAGGTCCAGGGAACAGGTCTTAACTTTCACTGTGGCACTTAGTCAGATGAGGCTAATGCACTTCAGTTGACCCTTCTTTCTCACACGGTTGTGGCCACAGTCATTGTCCCAAGTTTTGGTTGTTGACCTTTTATTTTTGTTAAATGTACCACCTGCTAGTTCTGGTATTTTTCATCCTCACCGTGTTTTTAAAACACTTTGTGCTCATTTACTTTAGAACTGTTTCCTGGCTGGTTTGTCTGTGGGCTTTAGTTTGGTTTTACAAAAGTTCACTTTAGGCTGCACACAGGGATCTACATTTGTAATCGCTAGAGAAGAAATAAAAGCAGAATAAAATGAACCGACGCCATGAATATTTGACTGTTAGCAAACAATAAAAAAATCATTACAGTGCTGTAGAATCGTGAAAGGAAATATCGTGATATATCTGCGTATTGATTATTTATTTATTTATTTTTTCTCACACCCCTAACCTTCTTACACCAGGGCGTCCTCTCTAACATCTCCTCCATCACTGACCTGGGGGGCTTCGACCCCGTCTGGCTCTTCCTGGTGGTCGGTGGTGTGATGTTCGTCCTTGGATTTGCCGGGTGCATCGGAGCGCTTCGAGAAAACTCTTTCCTGCTCAAGTTTGTAAGTTCCCAGAATTGTTTATCAGATTTCTCTCCTTTGTTTCGTGACTGTTTGTTTGTTGAACTCACAGAACTGTGTGTGTGATTGTTTGTGTGTTTTTAGTTCTCTGTTTTTCTGGGCATCATCTTCTTCCTGGAGCTGACTGCAGGAGTCCTGGCCTTTGTCTTCAAAGACTGGATCAAGGACCAACTCAACTTTTTCATCAACAATAACATCCGTGCTTACAGAGATGACATTGATCTACAGAACCTGATAGACTTTACACAGGAATATGTGAGTACAGAAAGTTATTGATATAAAATATGATTTGCTCCCCAGTGTTATTTTTACAACTTTGTGAGTTCTCTTTTTGGTAGTCTGTAGGACGTTGTTGGCATACCTACTGCAAATTTGAGGTTTTCTCGTCTGGTGTCCTTGCAGTGGGAGTGTTGCGGAGCGTTTGGTGCTGACGACTGGAATTTAAACGTATACTTCAACTGCACCGATTCCAACCCCAGTCGAGAGAAATGTGGCGTTCCCTTTTCCTGCTGCACCAAAGATCCAGCGGTAAGTCTTCATCTAAAAGTGACTATTAACAATGAACAAAAACTAGAACTTGACATATGATACTTAAACCCAAGTGAGAGAAGAAAAGTTTGAATGTTTATTCACATGTTCATACAACTAGAAATGGCCTACAGCTCCACATGACAGGCCGTCATTTGTCTCTAGACTTTTTTAGAAAGCAGTTAAATTCTCAGGTGAATTTGCACAAACACTGCCATTAAAAAAGTACCTCGATCGATGCTCTCGGACTCCCAGTGAAGCCCTCTGTCCGCTGTAGGGAAGTTACTTGTGTCATTTGTCCAATAGGTGTCTTGCCCCTCAGTTAAAATAAACAAAACTGTCTCATTAGTGTTGCCTTACAAGTGAAGTGGAGCTTTAACAGTTTTTGAGATACGCTCTCCTGCTGCAGACCACCTGCAGCTCATTCTCTGTCGACACAAATGTAAATTAATAAACAGTAGAACAGTATTTGACAATTTTATGACATTTCAGTGGAGGCTGAGAGACCACTGGTGTGTATCTGTATATCTGTGCGTTGTGTAAAACAATTAATCCTAACGAGAGTGGACTGTGAAAGTAACGGGAGCCAGAGAACAAGTTCAACCAATAAATCAACTCCGTATATCATCACCCACCAGGAAAACCTGGAAAAGAGGACTGACTGCACGAACATCACATCACACAGACACTGGAGAATGTACAAAAGAAAACAAACATAATCAAACACAGAAATGAACCAAGGATGACAGGGAAGATACAGCTGATCCTGGAGACCCAGATGGAAAACATCTGGAGTCAGGTCCTGACAGCCAGGGAGGTTTGGGGAGTCTCAGAATCTATGAAGTCTGAGCACAGAGTAAAAAGCGAGGATGGGGTGAGAATATCAGTGAGCTGGGAGGGAGAAAGTGAGAGGACCACAGCCTTGGTTGCTCACCAGCCTGAGAAAATAAAAACCAGATGGTGAGAAAGATTGCAGTGGTTGTTATTAAAGAATTTAAAGTAATCTCTTCGCCAAGACCGTATATACTGTAGTTCATTATACTGTACAGCCATGGTGTTCATTGGTTGGTGTAAAAAAAAAAGGCTTCTCCCTTAAAGTAGAAGCTCAGGCTTATCAGGAACGATAGTGTGATTAAAAAAACATTTACACCACCGGCAGCTAGAGGGGGAAATAAGCAAAGGTCCTTCATGTGACCAGGTCTGGTTATCTGTGTCCTTCAGCAGCCAGACTTTACATTATCACCCACCGTGGCTGATGTCCAACAGGACGTCCAGGCCTCAGTGCTGAGTCCTATCACAGCGTGCCAGGGCAGCAGAGGCTGAGAGGAGGTACTTCAAACCAAGGCAGTTTTTGGCAGCACTACTGCAGCCCTCGGTGAAAGGCACGGAGAGTACTCTGAGTGCTGCAGAACAGATATGAGTTCACTTCAATCAAAGTTGCACAAGACTCTGTTTTTATTTGCTGACCTGTGCTGGATATGCAGTTCTGCTGAGGTCAAACTCTCCGAGGGCAACACTGAGTCTGACTGACAGACTGGTGTTTGTCAGGTATTAACTGTGTTTTTAAAACTCAGCTGTTGGGAATTTTATTTTCACTTTTTGACTGGGTTTGCGACTTATCCTCGGATGCAACTTTTATATTAAAATATATAATTTCACATGTTTGTTATTTTCACACTGACAGCCGCTAGAGGGCACTCTAGGCTTATGTACTAGTAAATGCTACTCCTGTAAGTTGCACTTTTTTATTCTTTGGCTGGTGCGACTTACACTTATATGGTTTATGTGTATATATATATATTTATATATATATATATTTAACGTTTCAAGTTTAGGTTAAGGTTTACATATGATATTATTTTATCATATATTATTATGTTACTATGCATTATGTTTATTATGAGCGTATGAATGTGAACTGAATTGTCTTCACAGGAGGACGTCATCAACACCCAGTGTGGATATGACATGCGAGCGAAGACGGTAAGAAACACTGAAATATTTATTACTGTTTACTCATTACACAGACGGAGACCATTCTGTAAAATGCGGCGGTAAAACATCCTGAGTAGTGGGACCTGCCCCCTGATGCAGGTGTGTCCGTCTGTGTGAAGTCACCAGGTCATCCACAGTGGGGCACACTGTCCCTCTTTCAGTACATTCCCAGACTTCTCGCTCCTCCGAACACAGCAGCTGGCTCTCCATCAGGACTCCAGCTCCTGTGGTCATTACTCATGCCACAGCAATGCAGTGGAAAGTGAAACCCCTCCCCCGTCATTAGCTTTGGCCGTTCTCCACCGAGGCATAATGTAAGGCAAAAGGCAGAGTTTGTTTTCTTGACTTCAAATGTCAGAGAAACGGCCGAGTGGAGTTGGTGTAACGAGGCCGAGCAGCAGCAGAATGAGCCGAGTGTGTGTTAATGACCGTGAAAACACACTTCTGATTGTACATTATGACGGACGTGATTGGGGAGTTGGCAGAGGAGGACGGATGTTAACCACAACACTTTGGCTTTCTGAACAAAAATGTTTTTTTTTCTCTGAAACCTCAAGGTTTCGTCCAAATCAACTTTCTCTTTCTCTCAGCGTCTTCCCTTTATTTATTATACAACGTGTATGGAGTTTTTTAGGCTCAGTCTGCGGTTGGAAAACAATCTTCTAATGGAAACGGACTGAAGCAGAAAACACAGCTAATATGACTAAGTTACAGTATCAGCTTCTTTTATGACAAATGCAGTAGTTATCTGGTTCTCTGTGCCAGAATGTTCTCCTCCCTCTGCTCCTGCCAGTAACCAAGGAGTCCGTCGTTCCGTCCCTCTACAATCAGACCTATACTCAGATTGTAGATATGAGTACAGTCTTTATTTTGTTTTCTTACACAGTCCCTAACTTTCAGTTTTGTTGCCAGAATAACGTGTTCCTCTTCTGATTCAGCCTTGGTTTCATCACAGTCACAGTGCATTAATGTCATCCTGCCTATAAAAGCTCACTTACAGGGGAGTCTAGAACCATAATCTGTAATTTGATAATGAACTCCAACCTTATTCATCTGACAAGAGGACAAAGACAGTGAAAGACCAAGGTTAACCACTGTTTCCACATCCTCTTCTCTGTAAACTCCAATGTCCTGTTTCACTCCTTACACTGCTCAGTGGTGTGCTTTTATATTTTCTTTTCCATAGAAAAATCTATATAAATGTGTAACAATTAAACATAAACAAATTTTTTTTATGTTTCAGAATTCTGAGCAGCGAATGTTTATTTATATCAAAGGCTGCGTTCCTCAGTTTGAGAAGTGGCTTCAGGACAACCTGACGGTGGTGGCGGGCATCTTTATAGGGATTGCTTTACTTCAGGTGATGGACCAGTGTTGGAGTTTGATATAACACCTGATTTGTGTTTACGTGAATTTAACATGTATATTTAATGATTTTAATTTTTTTTTTTGCTATAGATTTTTGGCATTTGTTTAGCACAGAACCTTGTGAGTGACATTGAAGCTGTGAGAGAGAGTTGGTGAGTATCACTCCTGCACTGTGGATGTTTCACTGTCATTCCTCCAGATTTATAATTCCATCGTTTGGATTAGTCACATATAAACATACACCAACCTGCTGTTATTTGTCTTTTCGTTCCAGTTTTCTCATATTTAGGAATGTTGGATTGATCATGATTAAACAATTACCCTGTGATTATTTGATTAAAACATTTAATCATTTTATTTTCTAATATTTCACATTTATCATGGTCTCTGATTTCAACCACATTTTTACAAGTGGATAAACACATAATGAATCACTCGACTCTGAGGATGTAACTGGGTAAAGATTAGACTCGGTGATGACATACAGATTGAACTGATTGAACCATAGTCGACCTCATACCGTATGTATCACAGGTTTATTTTCACAACGTGTGTATATTATGAATACTGCCACGCCGGCCGTAAAACTAACATTAGTTATTGTTCTGTCTGTTTGTCTAAATGAAAAGTGGATTGTTTTTAAATCTGCTCTGTGTTCTGTGCAGTCTGTTCACCTAAGACCTCGGCAGAGTCACCAGAGGCAAGAAGCATGAACCAGGTTAGCAATATTTATTTTCCTCGTTGACACAACTGCGCCCCCTAACGGGCTCCTCCTCGTTCCCTCTGGCCAAGTTTGATTAAAAGCAGTCACAGGAATAATTTGATTTCATAGTAGATTTTTAAAAACACAGTAATAGAAAGTTTAAATACTTCAGTGAAAACAAATGTTTTTTTTTAACAGTCACACCAGGTTAGTTAAAAACATCTTTTACACTTCCCGGCCACAGGGAGGCGACCACACCAATCCAATATTCAAGGAATGGACTTAGTACCGCATTTGAGTTTATACTTTTAAATTAATTTATAAAATGATGTCCCCAAATGGCCACAGGACGGCCAGGGAGCATTAGAGTTTATATAGTCCACACAAACACCTAAAATGTGGACGTGAAAAGTTCAAAAAAAACTCTACACTAAAATGTGGACGTGAAAAGTTCAAAACAAATTGTGAAAATGTCCGTGTAGATAAAAATCAGATCTGGTCTGCACACCTGGTATTGCTCCTCAACAACAGACAGCACTTTGGACCAGGGGCTTAAGAACAGTTCAGGTCTGAAACCTGGTTCTGGTTTATAATAAAGAGTGGCAGCAGCTGGTGTGCAGACAGTGTTTGACAATCCTTCACTGAAGCCAGGGTTTATTTTATTTTATTTATGTAACTATCACATTTTTAACACTGTAAATAAAATGTGTAACACAGCTGCAAATGATGTTTTTTTTTTTCCCCCTCAGGATTCCACAGTTTGGACACCCACGGTGAAGATAGTCAAGAAATCAAGATGTTCTAATGTACATAATAGATATTTGGGTATTTGGTTATTTTAAGATTTTCTTTTTAAATAAGCCATAACACAAATCCTCTGAAATGTACTGTAACTTTGACAGCAATGCAGTTTGAGCTGCCGCCACACTGTCCACTCTGGCCGAGAATTCCACTCAACTAAAGACACATTTCTCTGACGTAGCACCTCATTTATAGAACGACTGCGGTTTGATTTGTGCCACAGCTGCAGTTTTTGACGCTGCACGTGTTATTATCGAGGTTCTGATTCTGGAAATGCACTGCATGCCTTTTGTCTACTGGTGGGACACCAGCTCTCCTGCTGTGTTTGGATGGTGAATCCGCTGGTGAAGCAGTTTTGTTATGTATTAAAAACTACGGCCATTTAGTTTAAAATTTAGAATATTCACTCTCTCATGATATCGCAGTTTGTGAAGTGAATTTCTCCATGGGGTGGACGTACATTGGTAGTGTTGTAGATTAAATAGCTAGTCTATTTGGCCAAATCAGTAAAATAAATCAATAAATAATTTGTGGCATGATAATAAAAGAGATTTCAGCTTTATGCACTTTAATATTCACGTTAAATGATTGTTTTTACAGCAGCCACAGTTTTTGTCACAATCATTATTTTAGGCGAACAGTGGCCACTGGAGGGGGCTCTTTCTTTCAAAACAGACTTTGACTTTCTTTAAAAGAGCTTGTACGACTGTCTGAAGGGGAAAAAAACACTTTATTTTCAATGTCAATTCACGTTCGTTTGTAATTTGTTTTTTCTGCTTTGGGTTCTTTGTTATGAACGTTGCCTTGCTGATGGTTTTGTTTTGTTTTTTTCCACTGGAAAATTTGGATTCAAGACTCATAAAGAAAGGCTCGCTAGTTCCTCCTGGTGGCTCATCACTGAACATACATTTATTTATAGTCTGCTCATAAATGTACTTGAAATCAGAGCACATGGGCGCTCTAACCAGCATTATGTTCAATGCAAAGTTGGAAACTAAGAAGTAATTTATATGTCTTGATTGTTGGTCTTTATAAATCATTCTTTTCATAAGTATCTTGGATGAATCCTTGGAGGTAAAGGCGTGAATTTTATGTAAACAAAGTTTTACTGACTTACAGTAAAGACGTAAAATATAGGTTAGTGAATCTGTAGAAAAGGGAAGAAGTGAGTAACTGTTGGGAATTTCACTTTATTCTATCGCTGTTATAAACCTCGCCATTGATTGATTCCACCCATTCATACAACCGTGTGCCAAACCTGTTGACTTTTTACATCCTGAAATGTCTGCGCATATCGTTCAGGTTTTCTTCTGGTGCTTGTAAACAACCATGTAAATCGTGACATGTAAATATGTACTTGATTAAATGTGTTTGTTTCTACATACTTTTTTGGATTTGTAAATCATTGTATCAGTTTCGGAAACTACCAGGAACAGACCTATATGTGAAAAGATGTATAAAATTAAGTCACATTAATAAACCAAGGTGTGTCGTTGTACAGTATATGTGGCCTATATGAGGAAATATAACAGATTCCACATATAGAACTTGCGACATTCGATCGTTTTAGGAAAGAACAATGATTGAAGATTTGGCTCCATCTAGTGGTGATCTCCAAGCATTGTTGGGCAACGATTGGAGTTCACGGAAATCGTGAATGTAAAAAAAAAGTTACTTAGTGAATAAAATGGCGAGCTAATGCTTAGCCAATGCCGAACATAATCAGCGTTTCACCATCAACCTGACGTCGGAGACGCTGTTAGCACCCAGACACGAAAGGAGTTTGTTTAAACGGTGGAAAGTCTTGATGGAAGGATAACCGCGAAAAGGCCATGGCTACCCGGAAGGAAACGAGGTCAATTTAATTTATGTACAAAAAATATATCTCTGTCACTCCGGACTCAAGAGTCAGAGTTTGAATTATTTCGCCGTAGCGGGAGACTGTTCGTCGGCTGAAGGGTAGGTTCCTTGTCTCTGTGAGTGTGTGAGATACCGACTGGTCTAATTTGTCTCTGTGTGTGTGTGAGATACCGACTGGTCTAATTTTACTTGTACTGTGGTTCTCAAGAGAAACTTTTCCGTTTTATCTGGTGTGAGGCCATGACACCGTTAAAGTAAAACTGTCTTATCACAGAGGTTGTACTGCAGCGAATAGCAACACTTTTACTTAATAAATAATGTTAAATTATCAATAAATAAAAGATACAAACTTTTCAAGACAGTTAAAATAATCTGAATTATGAATGAATTGTGAATTATGAAAATAACAACAAAAATAGAAAATAAAATGTTTATATAAATATTGTATTATATATACTGTATTATTAGTTACCTACAGTGAGTGGTATTGTAAGAACTGAGAGTGAACTTAACAGTCACGTGTTTCAGATGATAACGTCACAAAACAAAAGACTGGGATGGATCTACAGTCATCTCCACTGACTCTACTGTATATTTGATCAAAGCCGTGTCTCTCTAATGAATTACAGCAGGATGAAGGGTAGCAGTAATCACTGAAGCCGTTTCAAGGCTCTTTTCATGTGATTGGGCCCTTCATCAAAGCAGATCCACCCAGTGGATGCATACAGTCACTGCAGAAGCATTTAATAATCACTAGGGGTGTAAGGATACACTCATTTGATTTCAATTCTATTTTTAAACAAATCAAAATCTCAAACAATACCAAATGTCGCCATATGACTGATTTAAAGTTACTCTATGTCACCGTTACTGCTGAGCGCTGAATCGTCCCGCTTTTGTATCGATTTTTAAATCGATTCACGATGTATGGTTACATCCTCTAATGATCACAGTTGATTAATTGACTTTTCTTTGACGCTTAACTTGTCAACTAGTTTATTTTCTAGAAATTCCATAATTAAACTTTTTGTAAACTGTAATCAATACATTTGTTTCACTTTTGGTTTTTCAACCATCAAAAGTATCTATTGTTTAACGTTAGCTGCTAATAGTTCATCAACTGATTGTGATTAATTAACCCAGGAATTGTGTTAAAATCTATCATTTCTTCTCCCCAGTCTGATCACTCCACTTCCCCAGATGCTGTAATCTGACCTGTGGGCTGGATTCAGCCGCAGACGGCCCATTTCCACCAGGAACCTCCACAAAGCACTGACTGTTCATACTGAGGAGAAAAATGGGTGAAGGGTGTTAAACACGAGGGGCTCTCCTGTGTTTTAATCCTCCGTGATTGAGAACAACATCACATGGAACCATCATAACCAGACGTCCAGTCTGAGGTGGCAGCGGAGGAGCCTTATCTGTCAGATCGTCCCGTTTCATTGATCACTCAGTCAATCAGAGGCTGCCCCTCTGGACTGATATAAAAGATGGGCTCCATGTGTCAACAGCAGACGAGGCTGCTGTCAAAGCCCTGCTCCTCAGGTTAATCATTGGCTGCTTATCTGGTACTTAGTACCGGAGCGTGGAGTTTGGAGTCTGCCCTGCTCTCAGATAAAACCTCCTAGGGGAGGCTGGGACTGGCTTTGCCTTTTCTTTTTGGCCCTGCGGAGCTTCCTCAGCCACTCGCTCTTTGCTTGTGCCGGTTTTCATCCATCTGGCTGCAGAGAGAGGAGTCATCATGTTCACTCTGCTGGTTTTGCTCTTCCTCTGTGCAGCCTCTTCTGCTGAAGGTGAGTGGATGTAGGATTTTTACTGCTTTATATATAGCGATGTCCTGACCCCCGAAGTGAAGATATCTCCAGTATTGTTCATCCAAACTCTGGCTCGGGGACCACACGTGGCTCCCAAACTGGTTTCATTTGGTGGTGAACTGATTTGTAAATATGGTTTTTGGAACGTGGCACAAATAAATGTTTTTTGAGTCAGTGACTTTGCTAACTCTGCAAAATATACAACATGCTAATTCATATTCATATTCATTCATATCTTACAGGCAATTTTAGGTACAAGCTGTTCTTTTGTACTTTATTTTTATCTATTGATCCACTCTATGTGTTTTTACTTCCTGTCTAATTTCATATAAAATGCGTGAGAAAATTGAACCCACATCATGTTAAATGGATAGTGACACGTCAGTCTGTCTTTACTCATGACCTCATGTCCTGCACAACCGTCAGTGAAGGGGCAGAACTTTTTGTTTTATCTTCTCACACTCCAAACACACCCAGTTATTGCCCGGTGACTCAATCACTTCAACTATCTCCAGAAAAATCCTCAAAAGAAAGTGAAGCAGGACTATTTAATTTATATATATATACATATATATATATATATATATATATATATATATATATATTATCAGTAGAGATAGTTTGTTCTGTATATATATATATATATATATATATATATTATCAGTAGAGATAGTTCGTTCTGTCTTCTTCCTAAGTCAGTCATGTTTATTTACCAGCTGCGTGTCCTTTATTTCTTCAGGTGGCAGCGGTGCTGCTGGAGCTTGGCTCAACAACAACCAGCTGTACAAATTCAGCTACACCACTGAAGTGCTGGTGGGCAAGGCCAAAGGGTCAAAACAGAGCAACTCAGGCTACAGGATCTCCAGTGATGTTGGCGTGAACCTGGCGTGGAGAGACCCCGGCAGCAAAGACGATCAGCTGATACAAATAGCTGTAAGTTGTTCTTAATGCTGTGACACGTCAGCTAGGATATTAAATAATGGACTTTGTACTGTGAAGCATCGGGTTTAAAGCTGAATTTAACACATTTCTCTTGAAAAGTTGTCGAACGTGAGGATCGAACCCTTGTCCCAACGACCGAAGGAAAAGAACGTTCTGTACGGATCAACTGCTGAAAGTGTCTTTGGAAAGAAAAAACTGGCAGCTCTCACCAAACCTTTCTTTGTGCATCTTAAAAATGGAAAGGTAATGTAAACTGTTTTTTAATTCAAATTACAATTACATTTTTTAGAGATTCTGTTACTGAGTTTTCCTCATTCCCTGTTAGTAAAAGTGAAAGTCCATGTGGTATTGTTAGTTTCAACCCGTTGTGAGGCATTTAAACACGTCCACTGATAATTTGTAGAAATTCTCTTGTCTTCTGGACTTTGTTCTCTTCAAGTATGCTTACGTCTTAGAACTAATTAGTTTGTGCCGGAGTGATGATGGTGGCAAGAAAAAAAAACACACACATGTGTGTGTAAAGGTCAGCATGTGTGAACTGATCAATAAAAAGAAGAGTAAGATGTTTGAGTCTGAGCCAAGGTCATTCTCCATTGTTGTGGTTAACATGATGAATCAGTAAATAGAAAAGGACTAGTTGACTGTGAAAGATCTGAATAAAAAAAAGTAACATTATTAATGTTACATTAGGTTCATTAGCCTATTATTAATTTATAGAGGAGATTTGTTTGATAGTTTGACAGATGATATTTGATAATATTAACAGATTATGGGGCTGTTTTAGAGAGAAACAAATCATGTTACCGTACAGTAGTACGGACCTCCCTGTCTTTGTTCATTTTTGTTATTCGTTTTTCAAAAAAGAAATCCTAGCCTAACTTCTCCTTTGATCAGTTTTGGATCGTGTGTGTTTGGAGTGAGATCTGAGCCTCTGCTTTTATTTTGATATTTTTTAATAATGTCTATCTGTGGCGGTACAAATACACAGGGCGACACACGACAGCGTTTTTATCGAGGTCACGTCTGATGTTGTGGTTGAGCTCCACAAATACTTCACACACAGTGGAGCAGGAAGTGTAGGATGATGTAATCAGCTGATTTCAACACTCACGGCCAGAACTCAGAGTCCATGACTGAACCAAAGTGCAACAACAATGCAAAACCTTTCCAGTACGATGAAGTATTTTTGCAGTGAGGACTTTTATTAAATGTGATCCGACTCATAAACAGATGTAGTATTAGAGTAACCACGGCTGTGTAATCATCTGTATTTAGAAGTTATTGGGCTCAGTTTATGTGAAGTCAAAAGAGCAGTATGACCTGTGATGTATTTCAGCTCCGTGTCGGGCCTCACGGTGACATGGCGGTGAGCACTGTTGCCTCACCACAGGAAGGTCACTGGATGGTTTCATTTGAATGCCCAGTGTTTTTCTTTGGTTCTCTGGTTCCTGCAGAGCAGAGATTGAATGTAAACAGTGAATCTGAGCTGAATGTGAGTGTGAATGTTGATGGACTGATGGAGTGTCTGCATTATATCAGCAGGGAGTGTCTTTAGAGTCTGCCCTGCTGCCATGAAGAACTATTGTGTTATGTTATGCAATGTTATGTTATGTAATGTTATGCTGATATTCTAAGCTATGCTATGCTATGTTTGAGAAATTTTCTTTGTAAAATGTAGTCATTTCACATCATGTGTTTTTATTGCAGTGAAAACATGTCAACTTTTTCATTTTTTAATTTATTTCTTATTTTAACAACAGTTCAAGATACAGTATTAAGGCCGTTATGACCATAAAAAAAACATTAGCCCCAAATTAACCATTAGCTAAACTGTAATCAATGCCTGACCTTCATTCACTCATGTGTTAATACCTCAGTATTTTTGTTGTGTATTTGAGCTGCACTTCAAAGACCTTTTGTCGTGTTATTTACATATGTCACTCCCTGAAAATAGACTCTGATGTCATGTAGTTGTGCACATCATGTGGACGGGAAAAGTGACACCCTGAAAGTCCTCGTGAGTTAGAGCAGCGGTTCCCAAAGTGGGGGGCGGGACCATTGGGGGGCTGTTTTTTTATTCTTGTCACAGTCAAAGTGGGGGGCGGGACCATTGGGGGCTGTTTTTTTATTCTTGTCACAGTGGAAGAAATTGCAATGATTTGTAACTTTGTTTGTTTTGTTTCATAAAAATAGCCGTTTAATGAAACTACAGTGTTTTAAATAAAGCTCAGTAGATGATAGTAGTACTGTAGTAAAAGTTTGGGAACCACAGCGGTAAAGTATATACTGTAGGATGGTGTAAAAGCTGTTCCATCTCTATGTTAATGTACCTTTTACCTCCGCCGTCTGAAAGCACGACAATGAGATTAAAATGTTTTTTTCCTTGCATTTCTCATTTATAGACAAAAGCATTTTATTCCTACTGGACTGAACCTGGCAGCGTCAAAAACCTGAAGAGGGGACTGGCCAGTTTACTGCAGCTGCAGCTCAAAACTGGGAAAGTTATAGAGGTAAAACAAGATCAACGTCACATTTCTGTCTGCTGTTGTCGTTACATCAGGCATCTGACGTTGATATTTGTATGTAAAACAGAATGACGTGTCTGGAAGGTGCATGGTTGACTACAGAGCAGAAAAAGGTCAGGTGACCAGGACCAAGAACCTGGAGACGTGTAAAACTGCAGATCGTGGATTCACCACACACAGTCAGGTCAGTGAGCCTCTACACACACACACACACACACACACACACAACACACAGTGGGCTGTTACTGAACGACTCATGTGTCACCGCTGCTTCAGGTCCTGGGTGTGAACAGGAAGTCCAGGTCTGTTACAGTGTTCACACTGGAGGATGGTTTCATCCGCTCGGCCGTGGCTGAAGAAAGTCACGGACTTGCTGTCAATGTTCGCAGATCAGTTTCAGCCAAAGTCCTGTCCAGGTGAATATTGAATATCCACACATTTTCAGGAAAATATCCCGCACAAACAAGCAATGTTTATAAAAAAATGTCCCCGTCTTATCAGGCAAACCCTCACACGGACAGGCACTGAGGCCGGACCACCGGAGGCTGCTGGGAAAGATGTGAGCAGCGTCGTCAAGTCCATTGACGACAAACTGGCTGCTGTCGGAGTCGTGGCTGAGAAAGTCAAAACCTACTGCAACGGTTGTCCATCAGTGAGTTTTCCTAAACCAACATTCACAAATACAATGTTGTCTCTTCATCCACTGGCAGTCGTCAAACTTATATATTATTACGCCGTCAGTCCAATTCTTATATATGAGCCATTGGTCAAATATACATTAGTTTATCAAATTCATGTGATTATCTGGGGGCAGACGAGGCTTGAGTTCACAGTGTGGAATGACCAAAACAGTTTGAGAACCAATGCTGTAGATTATACTGGAAAAAAGGTAAATGGCCTTCATCTTGGGAACACAAACCTGAATTAAGTGAACCCCCACCGGGACTGTATGTTGGTGAGGGAGTCACTCATTACAAGTCAGTTAGATTTTCAAATACCTGTTTCTGGAAATTCATATCAGTTTATATCAGACACGTCCTTCCAATTTCCATGTTTATGGAAGTAGTTACTTTATATATTGTGGTAATCAAATCTAGTCTTTAGGCCTTGACTGGTTTAAAGGACATAAAGCAGGTGATTTCCTCAGTCAGTTTCTTAGTCACCGTGTTGTTACAACCACCGTTTCTAAATAATATTGGTGTTTATAATGTGTCAGTATTCCTGTCCAGTTGTAATTACACTCTACACGCCGGTCTTTATTTAACTTTGTACATTGATCGTTTCCCATCATTTCAGTCCCATAGGCCCAAGTTGAGCTGAGTGACAAATCGCAGCTTGGTTACAAAATCACTCCTAAATAGTACTGTAATCAACAAATGTGCTATATTTTGGCGCTTGTGCAATTACTGACTGAAGACGATCTCCATGTCCCCCGGCCCCCGCCCCTGTGTTTTTCCCTCTTAGCTTTTCGAACATTGGCAGACTCAACAGAAGCAGCTGGAGCCAGCGGGCTTGTCCAAAGCTACGGCTCCTCGCAGCTTCCTGGCCCTCATCCAGAGCATTAGGAAGGCGTCCAAGGTTGAGATTCTCAAAGTGCTCAAGAGCGCCAGCAAGACTTCTCTGTAAAGAAGCTCCGCCTTTTTCTCTACAATATTTACCCTGACCCCGACTGACAAAAATGACTAAATAAGTGCAGTTTTAAACCACTAGAAAAACCAGGAGATAAACTCACCGTTGCTCTGTTTCATTTCCTCCAGACCTCAGGTGGTGGATGCTGTGACATCCGCTCAGACTGAGGCATCTCTGGATGCCATGCTGGAGTTCCTGAACTTCAAAGATTCCAAAAGTTTTGTCCTACAAGAGAGGTTTCTGTACGCCTGTGGCTTTTCCTCACATCCCAATGAGAAAATGTTGAAAGCTCTGCTGGTGAGTCACGTTTGATAATCAGCACAAATTTCCCGTCTCTGAAGAGATACTTTCTAGTGGCCCACATTTAATCATAGAACGATGACACGTCCAACCCTCTCTGCCAGATCAGGATCACAAAAACAAAGTTTTGGTCCAGATTCCTTTTAGGAGAGGGTAAAACAATATTTGACCAACATATTTTTGAACATCTAGGCAACATCAGGCTCAAAACAAAATGATTAGTCCTATGTTGCAATATTTAAAAAGAAAAGAAAAAAAATGAAAAGAAAGAAGGGAAAAGAAGAAGATATTGCAATATTTAGCATGTTCTCCCAATTGTAATCAGACTTGTCTCCTTGTTGTAGGATATTTCTAAAGGAAAGATTGGCAGCACTGACATAGAGGAGACGGTGGTGATCATAATGGGAGCCCTGGTCAACAAGCTGTGTCAGAAAGGAGGATGTAATCTCCCGGTAAAACTTCTAAAAGTCCCTGAAAAAGTTAAATGTAAGTCTGAAAACACAAGGGTTTTTCCTGAACT